AAATCCACTGCAGACTGTACTAATAATATTGGGAAAGAAAGAGTTGATTTGGTATCATTCTGACTTTTTGCTGCAATGATTTTACTCTACTGCTGGATGAATGTTGTTGTTTATTCGTTCAGTCACTTCTGACTCTTTGTGACCTCATGGACCAGCCCACACCAGAGCTCCCTGTTGACCGTGGGCAGTCCCAGATCCTTCAAGGTCAAGCCAGTCACTTCAGGGATACCATCCATCCATCTTACCCTTAGTCGGCCCCTCTTCCTTTTTCCTTCTCTGTTCTCCAGCATAATTATCTTCTCCCAACTTTCTTGTCTTCTCATTATGTGGTCAAAGTACTTCATCTTTGCCTCTAATATCCTTCCCTCCAGTGAGCAGCCGGGTATTATTTCCTGGAGTATGGACTGGTTGGATCTTCTTGCAGTCCAAGGCACTCTCAGAATTTTCCTCCAGCACCACAGTTCAAAAACATCTATCTTCCTTCGCTCAGCCTTCCTGCTCTCGCATCCATAGCTTATTACGGGGAATACAGTTGCTTTAACTACCCCATATTCCCTATTCATTTGGTTTAATCCTATATTTGTTTAGATATATGAGACTTCTGAAATAGTTTAGCCCTCACTTCATTCCATGTTAAAGATGTGGGTTCAATCACACCATTTGCTCCAAAGCAGACATGTTTTAAAATGTATTTTAGTTGGAATCCCACTCCTAAATGGAACAAAAAACAATTAAGGGTATATTAATTATATTTAACAATATGAGTTGATGAATACAATTATTTTCCATGCACACATATGGACTCTGCATGTTGAATGATGACAGGTTATCATTTTTAATTACTGCATTTCTTCCTGTTGGATCTTCCAGTTGGATCTTCTTGGTGCTCTCAGAACTTTCCTCCAACAACACAGTTCAAAAGCTTCTATCTTCCTTCGCTTAGCCTTCCTTATGGTCCAGCTCTTTGAACCATAGGTTACTATGGGGAATACCATTGCTTTAACTATGCGGATCTTTGTTGTCAGTGTGATGTCTCTACTCTTTACTATTTTATCGAGATTGGACATTGCTCTCCTCCCAAGAAGCAAATGTCTTCTGATTTCCTGGCTGCAGTCTGCATCTGTAGTAATCTTTGTACCTAGAAATACAAAGTCTGTCACTGCCTCCATGTTTTCTCCCTCTATTTGCCAATTATCAATCAGTCTGGTTGCCATAATCTTGTGGGGGAGGGGGGCTATGTTTAACTGCATTCCAGCTTTTGCACTTTCTTCTTTCACCTTGGTTAAAAGGTTCCTCAGCTCCTCCTCGCTTCCAGCCATCAAAGTGGTATCATCTGTGTATCTCAGGTTGTTAATGTTTCTTCCAGCAATTTTAACTCCAACCTTGGATTCAGCAAGCCCTGCACATTGCACGATGTGTTCTGGATACAAGCTGAATAGGTCAGGAGAAAGTATACAGCCTTGCTGTACTCCTTTCCCAATCTTGAACCAGTCTGTTGTTCTGATGTCTGTTCTTAACTGTTGCTACTTGGTTGTTATGCAGAATAATATCTGGATTAATATGTCTCTTGAAATTCATTTTTACTATTTGCATGTAATATCAAAACTAAGGTGATTCCAAGAAAAAGCAATCTGTCACAAAAGGCTGGAGGTGATGATATAGAATAGCTACAATACTTTCCACAATCTATGTAAAATTCTTTGGACCTATATATTTTTCAAGAAAAACTTACATGTCTGCCCAAATGGGTGAAAGTGCACTTCATTCCTTGGTGGGTGGTGCATTGCAGTTCTTTGGAAATCAAATTCCATCTCGCATTCTCAGAACTTGTATTTTACTGAAAGGGTTGAGCCTTGTGTGTCAATATGGGAGAAATAAACAGACTGGAATGAGAGCTGGACAGAGCCTGTGGGGTCCTGCTGTTTCCTTTTTAAAAAAGAATTCTTCAAACCTGTTCTCTACCCCCTGCATATCTCTTGCCAAATGGGACACTGCGTAAAGCCAAAGCAAACATTCCAAAATTATTTGGGAACCCATCACACAATATCAGAAAAATGTGTGCAATACTACAGTTCAAGGGCACAGGGTTTGTTTTTTTTAACAAAAATGTTTTTTGCATTGTCACATCCAAATCACTTTTTTCTACTTCTTTTTCTTCTTCTCAAAAACTAACACTTTCTCAAATGATGCCACTATTTGCTTTGGATGTCCATGGGCTGAGTTCAATTCCCGGGAAAAGTGGGGAGAAGGCACACCAAAGTTATAACCTGCCACCTAGGGGAATTAAGGGTGCATTGCAGGTCAACTATAATTACTCCCGATTCTTCGCTGTTTATTATGCGGCTGTCATTTTCTGTGCTGCAAAGCTCTATAAAAGTTGCACTGTTCGTGACCTTTTTATTATTAGCAAATTGTGCTGAACACAGCTTTCCACACTGGAAAATGTTCAAAAACACTTCTCCCCCCGCCCCCCAAGAGATCCCATTTTACTCCCACAACAAGTGAGACTGGAATGAGTCTTTTCATTATCTTCCAAACCCCCAACCAGTCCCTTTTTCTAATTACACTGGTTTTGAACAAAGCAAAATTTGCATTCTTTTTTCAAAGCAAAGGTCACAACTACGTTGAAAGGCAATGAGTTATTAGAAAGTTGATGTCTCTTTAATTGCGGCTCTCGGAAAGCACAAAAATAGCAATGATTATGTTTATCGCAGACTAAAGAGACTGCTTTCCACTGATGCTACTATTTTAAAAGGAAATAGGGTTCAGATGCCAGAAACAGCTCTAAGCCTGTCATGTTAGGAGGGTTTTTTTGGAAAATAGCAGGGGGCTCAGAAGTATAACTATGGGAGAAACATGAAGGCATTGCCTCTCCAAAGAATTCTGCCTTTATCCAATGAAATTTTGGGATGTTGAAGGTTTTCATGGCTGGAATCACTGGGTTATTGTAGGTTTTTAGGGCTGTGTGGCCATATTCTAGAAGCATTCTCTCCTGACGTTTCACCTGCATCTGTGGCACGCATCCTCAGAGGATGCTTGCCACAGATGCAGTCAAAACATCAGGAGAGAATGCTTCTAGAACATGGCCATACAGCCAAAAAAAACCTACAATGACCCAAATTTTGGGATCTTTGTAGGACTCTATTCAGCAGTCCTCTTTTTGAAGGATAGAGGACAATCTTCATATTGACCAGGCCAAATCCAGCATAGAGATTAAGAATAATACGAGAGAGCTGAAGTATTGAAATTGCTTATCAACCATTCACACCTGGAGTGCAGAGTCAGCAGTAAGAAGAACTATGTTTCCATTTAAACTGTAGTCATTGTTCCTAAAGTTGCAGTTGTACATAATGATTAGCATTGCAAAATTTGATATAAATCTGTGCCCTCTATTTTGGTGATATGCTGGTAGCCATCTTAATCTGTTAGCAAAACCAGTTCCATCTTTTATGTGATGAACAAGTGTCAGGCAAGGAAAGAGGTGAAGTAGATTACAGCTTCTTAAATTGTAGGTCCTGACCCCCTTAGTACAGTGTCTGGGTTATGAAAAATTTAGCAACAGAAAAAGGTTTCTGAATGCCACCTAGACATTTACATGAATCTGTTACCAACAACATGCTGTCAGGTTCCGCTGGATCCCAGAATGAAACACACACTCACAAGAACAAATCCTGGAATTGCGGTTTATTCAGTCCATACAGTACAAAGCCAAAGAGAGAACTGAGGTTTCCCGCCAAACGCCTCCAGATCCCCCTTCTATCTTCACTCCCCCTTCCTCCCCTTTGCTTATCACAGTTTAGACTACAATTCCTTTCCCACATCTTCAAAGTGAAAGCTTGGCCCAGATGGCCCTACTATAAACTAATCTATCATGTCAACTCCCTCTAGTGTCAGGAGGAAGACTTCTTGAAATTCCTTGGAAACATGAAGGCACATCCTGACACATGCAGTGTTCCACTAGACTTTGCAGAAATTATGTCAGTTGTTCTTCATAAAAAGGAAAATCAGCCTTGTAAATGTTGGTTTATTATCAGTAAATGTTTGGGTTTTATACATGTTTTATATACCTTATAGCATATATACCCAGCATTGCCCAAGTGTCAGAGGAGCCACTGACCCTCTGCTTTCATCCCTTCTTTTTCTTTCCTCCTCTCAACCTTTTCCCTTTTACTTTCCCTTCCTTACTTCTTTCTTTTCCCCTTACTTCCGTCTCCTTTTCCATCTTTCCCTACTTTTTTCTCTTTCTGTCTTTCCTTTCATTTCCCCTCCCCTTTCTCCCTTCTCCATCTCTGAGAGCATCTACCTCACCGTATCTCCATAACAACATGATTCTCTTTCTTGCTCTTTCCTGCCTTTTTCCTTTTCCTCAGACACATGTCACCTTTCTTTCTCAGTCACACACAGAGGGCCACTTCACTTAGCAACAGCCTTTGTAATACAGACCGACTGACAGGTGGACTTTTAGAAAGATAGATAGACTAACCTGAGATCGTAAAAAAGTTTAAGAAGCCTTGTAATGGACTAGTCATCTATGTACCTATGGGAACATGCCTACAGCAAATAAACTAATTTACAGTATGCACTATGCACACACAAAAACACATACAAACACACACGGAATATATTGTGACTCTGTTCCATCAAAGTTCCATATCATGTGAAGACCCAACCTCTGTATACCTTTCTCTCCTCTGCATAGATACTTCCAATGTATGAATAACACTAATGGGCTGCATACCACTGTTTCTGTTATGCAAATATTACTCATATGAAAGGAAATTTCCAAATAGGACTGATGAGTCCCTCAATATGTGCTCAAAGAATTATAGAAGGGCTTTGGGCTTTCTTAATGCTTCCCAGAAGCCCTCGCCCTCAGGCAAGCAATTGATGATTTGGATCACATACAGTCATATTTAAAGTCTATTACTTAGGCTCTACAATGTTGTGTATACTTTTGGTTATAAAGTAACTTCTGTCTTTATAGGTTGGCTTATACGAACCATTATAACAGTCAAGGAGATGGTGAGCCTGGAGACACCACTGAAGAAGGAAGCAGCTCCAACCGCAGCAAAGAGACCTGGATCAATCCACGCCCCACTTTCATCAGTCCGAACCCCAAAAGTGGAAACTAATATCAAGCCGATAATCCTGCCAAATAATGCTCCTGTATAGCTGCAAAAAAGAAAAGAGAATAAGTATACTACTCTGGGCAGAAACAAATGTATACTTGCTTCTTAGTGCAGCCAATGTGTAAATATTGTCCCAGAAGATTAAGAAAATAGTCATCCATTCAGAAAGTGTGAAGTGTGAGAAACAGTATTAAACCCCTTGAGCTAAACAGTGTTTGCAGCTTAAGGTAAAATGCGTACAATGAAATGTACTGCTGTCATCAGACTTTGGTTTACAACATATATCTCTATTGGGATAGTCCAAAATTAATTAATTATTTTCTTATGCAAAGCACGCAGAGGAGATCCATCCCCATCAAAATACTTTTTTAGAGTAAACGGTTATTAACCAAAGGCCTATTAAGAAGTCATAGGATGATACATAAGAGGGAATTATACAGACTGCAAATAGCCAGTGACAATGTTCTCTTTTGTGCTCGAAAATGGAATACATGTGGTACTTACAGCATGGGTATCACCAAACCACTTGCAACAGCAGATCCTGCAGTCAGGCAGGACAACAAGAAGTAGAATACTAATGCTGTAAAAAGAGAAGCATATCCAAACTCGTTGTGAGTCCCACGTCTGAATAGGTATGTGATACCTCTCATACCATTCTCAACCAAGAGAGCAGCAGCTTTAAATGAGAAAAAGAGAGGGGGAAGGGGGGAAAAATAAAATGGAAGGTGTCATCATTTGAAGTTCTCTCAGAATGCAAGCATACACACATTGCAGGGGATTGACTGGATGGCCCATGCGGTCCTTTCCAATTTTAGGATTCTATGATACAGATTTCTATGTCATTTCTATACAGATGGAGGGACTTGCTCATAATCACCTGTTGCTGGCCTTTAACCAGTTTATCAATCTTATGCAACTATACATTGAGTACTCTTTATCCAAAAGGCTTTGGAACAGTTTTTTGCATTGCAGATAATCCAAAAACCTCATTACACTATTTTTAATGTAATGAATTATAGAGAATGCCATGATTTCTTGTAAGAGATATGTTACAAGATGCTCAAAAGAAGGTTTATTGGTAGGAAAGCCCAATGCATTTCAATCTGTGTGTACTCTTAAGATTGTCTTCAGGGGCTACACAGAATCAAACTACAGCAATTTGCTTCCTTGAAAAAAAATACTGAAAAATTGGTTTTCATATGTACATTAATTGATTCAATAATTCCTGGTTCAGAAATTTCTGAAGTGAGGTTCTAAGTAGCAGTCTGAAGGCCCTAAGAGCACATACAGGACAAAATGTGTTGGCATTTTTTAAACTAGTAAACAACTATTTTTGATATGTCTTTCTCTTGCATCTTCTGTGGATTTCACAGTTTTTGCTTATTACTTGTAATATACAATTTCCTACATCCATTTCACAAGCAGGATGAAATACTCTGTCTTTATTTGTTTCCACCAGTTTCAATTACATTTGTGAAAAAATTCTACATAGGATTGTGCCAATATAGTGTCAAGGACCTAGCTATTAGAGTGTGTTAGGAAGCACCTCTACTGACGAACTCAAATTTGCTTCTGCTGGCTTACGTTCACAGGCATCAATAAGTAACCCTTTTTGATACTGGAGATTTTGCTCAAAAACAAATTGGGAGATATTTAATTACTTGGAAAATGTACTTACATAAACACTGTTAATTGCATTTCTTTGTGAATATTGCCTTACCTTCATTAAAGGTTTGGTTGAAATCTGTCCCATTCTGTAATGTTGTTGGCGGACAATTATACTGTGAAGCTTGCCACCTAACTTGGCTTGCACTTGAAAGAAAACAAAACAATATTAAATCCATGAGATGAAAATGTGATCTAAGAGTCCAGAAACTAACTCTCTTGCACTGTCAGAATATATGAAATAGGGCTGCAATAGTTAGTCATCTCCCATCTGTCAACTACAGCCAACAACAACACATATATATCAGAAAAGGTGTACTGCCAAGCCCATAGCCAGCGAGGGGTATGGATTCAAACCCCCCCCCCCACACACACACACACACACACACATTTTCAGGTTAAAAAACTTGTTTAGTCATGAATTTTAACTGGTTAACCAAACCCCATGCTAAGTCTAAGAAAAGCAAAAATTAGAATTCCTCCATTTATTACCTATCTTTCCACTAAGTTTTGATGTTGTGCATGTTTAATCAACTTTTTTGGCATAAAGATAACATAATAGACTGAAACCAGCATGACTGCTCTTTTGCTCTTCTCCCTTTCAGAGGTCACTCTTATGTCTGCCTTCTTGCTCCTCCCACTGGGGTATAAAAGGAAGGCATGAAAGCATCTCTGGGTCATTCCAAAGACAGCTGTCTTACTGTGCAAATGTCTGCTAGCTTGAGTTGCTCCCCAGAGACTCAAAGCCCTGTTAGTTGCTATTAGTGTTTCCTTTCATCCACCTGACTCCAGAAGATGCCTAAACATCTGTCAAAGCAACTGAACATTTTTGAGTTCATGGCAAAAAAGAAAAGGGCAAATATTAATAACCAAGAAGGCAGCAGGTTAAGAACCATTGCAGCAGCTGGTACTGATGAAGACCCCAGACCATGCACACCTGGACTGCAGGTGAAAACTATAGAAACTGAGTTATATATCACTGGTTCATCTAATCCAAGCCCTGCCAAAGAAACCATGGAACAGGAGCAAAGAGAAGAAGCTGTGTCATTGTTAGACCTTGGATTTTAATTGAACAAGACTGTTTCTGATGATCAAGCGAAAGCTCAATTAGTGCAAAATTCACAGACTCCATTGCATGGATATGTATTTCCTGTGGATAAGAAGAGGCATCTAAATTTTCAACTCAAATAGTTCAATGGATTTCCCTGGTTAGCCTAGCTATTTAACATACAAGGTGCACTCTGTAAGTACTGTGTGTGTTTACAGGAGAAGCTGGGGGTAAAGGTGGTCATCAGAAGCTTGGTGCATTGGTTGCTAAACCATTTGTGCGATGGAAAGATGCAATACACATCTTCAATAGACACCAAAAAACAAAGTACCATCAGAACAACTTTTGCTTGGCTGAAAACTTCTTGTTAATTCACAGTGGGAAATGTCTTGATGTAACCCATCATCATGATAATGGAAATAAGAAGAAAACAGAAAGAAACTGATTCAGGACCTATTACCTGTGAAGAACCTATACGTGGAAAAGTTAAAATTCCTAGCATCTGTTGAAGGCAAACTTGTAAAAACAACATCCAGGTGACATCCAGGCAATTTCACCAAAACCTATATCAATTGTGTACATCCCATTTTTGGGCTCTTTCAGCAGTCAGCTTCAAGAAAGGTTTATGAGGCATAGGGAAAGGATTCAGGAACTGAAGGTGCTCTTCCCTATTGATTGTGGCCATTTAAAATCCAACTTAACAGTTGCACAGAGCTTCACAATGAATGCCTTCAAGATACTGACACACTGGTGCAACCTCATCACATTTACGGCGGTGGCCGGTGGCGGTGCTCCTCTTTGCCATGAAATGTGTCAAAGCTGGCAACCCACACCTCGCCTTGCCCTCTGGGAGGGTGATCACATGTGCCCTGCTTCCCCCCTTACATTTAGCAACACAAGAAGCCTCCCATGTTGTCTGGGCAGTGGCACCCACGGAGCTGGCACTATGTTTCAAATACAGACACCCCCTTTTTTTCTTGGCTACATGCCTGAGTACTACACACAGACCACTCCAGATCAATTACATGAGCAAGAGGAGCCCAACTCAGTCTCAATCCTTTCCCAGGTGAATAAATAATATGGGAATACAAATCCTTTTTCATAACAGCTGACTATGTTAAAGGTGAGGAGAATAACCTAAAATGTCCACCTTTAGTATATTTTATTTATTTATTTATTTAGTATATTTTAGTATATTCTATAGTACATTGTTGAGGACATCTTATATCCCTCAGTGTCTACTGAAAATAGTTTTCCACTTAAGTTGTCTGATTTTTTCCCTTTGAGTATACTATTTGGTAAATTTTCTTACTTTTGTAATTTTCAACATGGAGCTTTGATTGAAAAGGGAAATTCTGGAGTATACACAGTGGACCTCAAAGATTAGGTCTAGAAGCTCCACCAGGCTTCATATTGGGAATGATTTTCAAGCTGAAGAAGTCAAACACAATATAAAACATTACACAGACATAAAATATTTTTGTACAAATCCAGCATGTACTTACTTTTGCAACTTACTAGGTAGATCAAATGTTGGCAAGTTCTTAACTGGAGTACAGTGAAAGAAATAGGGCAAGTAGACAGTAGCAGTAAGGGTCAAGACCTGTCCATCAATCAGAAAAATTGAATATTACCTATGGAGAATCTAAAATGAGCAAGTCCAGTCATTATCCTTGAGTTCTATACAGTGCTGCTTTTAAAAATAGTCCAGAATCTATAGCTAATCCAAAATATTTACCCGATCACAAGTTTGATAGAAACACCCCCATTGTAAAACCAACAGGTTAGGATGACCAGCTACATACCACCAAAAAAGACAAGAGTTCTATATGAAATTTGTACAGACTCATCTATATGTAGACTGCAACCTTAGAAATGGCTACTATCATTCCAATGGTAATACAATAAATTTCATCTTATTGAGGAAGACTGTAACAATGTGCAATGACCATTGGAACGGCCCGGATTACGCTCATGGATTGTGTGTTTAACTCTTAATGTATTGTTCTTAAAAGTTTTAGTTGTTTTAATGTACTTTTAAATTCGATTTTAATATTTATTTGAGTGTCCATTGTGTTTTAGGGCATCAAAGTTTTGCCTATATGAAAAGCCGCTTGAGTCTCCTCCGGGGAAAGAAAGACGGGGTAGAAATGTCGTAAATAAATAAATAAGCGGAGGTGTATCTGCACAGTGCAATTTTACCACTTCGTTATCACTTTGTCATGTTTCCATCCTACAACATCCTAAGATCTGTAGTTTGTCATGGTACTTGGAATTTTTTTCCAGAGCTCTAATCCATTCCCCTGTACTACAGAATTAGCAGATAATGTTTCCATGATAATTAAAGTCATAGTAAAGTACCATGATACCAGGGCCAGTACTATGAACAGACAAAATGAGGAAGGTGTCTGAAACGGCAGAATGCCGTGCTGTGAATGGGCAGCAAATTCTTATTGGTTATTTTATCTGTTACTGTTGTATTTTTAACTGCCAAAGAGAGGAGAAGTGAGCATGAGATTTTATGCCTTACATGCCAAAATAACTGGTTTGGTTTAAATAATATGTGATTTAATTTGTATGATGAAGGGACAGCATATGCTGTTCTGCCTTAAGCAGTAAAACATGCTTGACCAACCCTGAGATAACTTAATCTGACCAGCCCTGAGATAACTTAATGTTGTCAAAGGTCTAAATATAAATGGACAATTTTGAGCTCCCTATTCTGCCTTCTTATTGTTCTTTTTTATGTTAAACCAGCCTTGATCACAACAAAGAGCTCCTTCAGACCAATGACATTTTCAAAAATAATCTATTTTTGGAAATGGAGGACACGTGGCTAAGCTAAACCTATGGTTAAAACATTTATTATGCTTATAAATTGGGATGGTATTTTGCATTTCATAGTCTAGAAATCAGTAAATGAAATCTAAAAAAATTAAACACAGAATTACCACATCACAAAGCTCTCTGTTTGCATTAAATATGATAAATTATATATGTTTTTAAAATCTGATAATACTTGTTTGGAATACGAAATACAGTAGAGTCTCGCTTATTGAACCTTCGCTCATCCAACATTCTGTATTATCCAACGAAGTCTGCCTCCCACCTGGATCCACAGCTGTTTCAATACACTGCGATGTTTTGGTGATAAATTAGTAAATACAGTAATTATTACATAATGTTACTGTATATTGAATTACTTTTTCTGTCAATTTGTTGTAAAACTTGATGTTTTGGTGCTTAATTTGTAAAATAATAATGTAATTTGAAGTTTAATAGGCTTTTCCTTAATCTCTCCTTATTATCCAACATTTTCGCTGATCCAACGTTCTGCTGGACCGTTTATATTGGATAAGCAAGACTCTACTGTCCAAGATATGTTAAAAATATAAACAAGTCTGATATTGAATATTTCCATATATATCTACTTGGCAGTGATGGGTTTTGGCATAAAACTGATTAATATTGATAGAGCATAAGCCACCATGAGGAAACTCACATTTAAAGATTACACAATATTATACTATACCACCTGTATCATGCTAGATCTGTGCCAAAACTAAACATTATCTAATATTTTATCACCTTCTATTTTTTTCAAGAACATATCTTCATTCCCATTGAATCCAGAGATGGTATTAAAGATTAAGTCACAGTGGCCTTGGAAGCAGGAAGCAGAAATAACTTCCTAATGTCATGTGCCTACTTCTTCCTCAAAAAAATTTTTTTTTGTGTCAGGAGCGAATTGAGAAACTTCAAGTCGCTTTTTGGTGTGAGAGAACTGGCTGTCTGCAAGGACATTGCCCAGGGGATGCATAGATTTTTTTTACTGTCCTGTGGGAGGCTTCTCTCATGTCCCCGCATAGGAAGCTGGAGCTGACATATAGTAGCTCATCTCACTCCCCAACTTTGAACCACTGACCTTTTGGTCAGCAGTCCTGCCAGAATAAGGGTTTAACCCATTCTATTGTCGAAGGTTTTAATGGCCGGAATCACTGGGTTGTTATGAGTATCCCGGGCTAGTGGAGCATGGCCGTACAGCCCAGAATAAAAAAATCATAGAGTTGGAAGAGACTTCACGGGCCATCCAGTCCAACCCCCTGCCAAGAAGCAGGAAAATCACATTCAAAGAACCCCCGAAAGATGGCCATCCAGCCTCTGTTTAAAAGCCTCCAAAGAAGGAGTCTCCACCACACTCCGGGGCAGAGAGTTCCACTGCTGAACAGCTCTCACAGTCAGGAAGTTCTTCCTTATTTTCAGATGGAATCTCCTTTCTTGTTGTTTGAAGCCATTGTTCCACGTCCTAGTCTCCAGGGCAGCAGAAAACAAGCTCGCTCCCACCTCCCTATGACTTCTCCTCATGTATTTATACATGCCCATCATTTCTCCTCTCAGCCTTCTCTTCTTCAGGCTAAACATGCCCAGCTATTTAAGGCACTTCTCATAGGGCTTGTTCTCCAGACCCTTGATCATTTTAGCTGCCCTCCTCTGGACACATTCCAGTTTGTCAATATCTCTCTTCAATTGTGGTGCCCAGAATTGGACACAATATTCCAGATGTGGTCTAACCAAGGCAGAACAGAGTGGTAGCATGGCTTCCCTGGAGCTAGACACTATGCTCCTATTGATGCAGGCCAAAATCCCATTGGCTTTTTTTGCTGCCGCATCACATTGTTGGCTCACAACAACCCAGTTTAACCCATTGTGCCACCGGGCTAAAATAAAAAAGCTGCTATTATATTCACACTCCATTGCTGTCAAGATCCTCTGCATGCATAGCCATACACCTCCTTACTTTTGTCTGCCATGAAAGAAGAAAGGAGGAATATGGTATTACAAAGTATACAGGGCAATGAGTAGACCAACTATAATTTTGAATGTTTGCTGGGAGGGATGAAGGAGGAAATCACCTATCCTTCAGCACTTGCAATTGTCCTAGTCCTGATTTCTATAGGGTCTCTGTTACAAAAGGTATTCAAAGCCATAGCTAGGCTTCTTTGCTGCTCCTCTCAGCAAAACAATAGCCATTGTCCTAATTTTTCCCTCCTCCTCTTTCCCTGCAGAAACTCTTCCAAGGCAGCTCACATCTTGGATCAGCCCGATCAGCTGGCAACTCAAGAGCGGAGTCCTGTCAAATGAAAATACAGCATTGGGACACACTGCAAGACAATACTTACAAGGACTAGCACAGTTTCTAAGAGCTTAGTTATTCTTCTCAAGGATGTTTTTGGAATTCGTTTGAAGAACCACATGCGAAATTTATTAATCTTTATATTCAAGAATACAAAGAGCGCTCCTAAAAGGCCCCCAAGTACTCCAATGAAAATGGCTGGAATGAATGCCAGGATGCTCATATCCAGTAAATTCTTCACCTAAATTGAAAGAAAAAGAAACAGCATGTTCTCTGAGTACTGCCAGTTAGTTGATATGCAGCAGCCACTATGTTGGAAGAAACACGATACAACAATTGGACAAATAAGAAGAAATTAGGTGTATAAAAAGCAGACTGTTCTTATAACCACCTATAAGGTCATAGCCAAAGTCTCTTGCCAGATCTTTCAAGGTATCCAGTGCTCCTGTCTTTGCCTTTTAGGATCAAAATAAAGCATGCAAACTGTTTACAATGTTATGTATGCAGTTTTCCACAGCATAATAATCTAAAATAAACAACCGGGATCTCAATTTTTCTTTTCACTTTCTCCCCTGTGAAGCTGTTGGAAATCACTGCGGTCACAGATCTGTAGAGTGAAGCAAGACTAGTCACAAAATCGTGCTATATGGAAGCAGAGGTTGACCTAATCGGCAATTGCTGATATTATTTTATGCAGATATCTAAGCCATATTTGCAAAATTCTACATTAATATGGTTCATCTTCCTGCAAGTGAAGTCCAGACATAATCTCTGGAGGCGTTATGACTAAAACTTCCTATTTCAGGTGGAATTTGGTGGTTTATGGCAGGCATCCTCACAGGTTGTGAAGTCTGTTAGAAACTAAGAAAATTGGGTTTATATATCTGTGGAATGGGTGGGAGAAAGAACTCTTGTCTGCTTGAGATAGGTATGAATGTTTCAATTGGCCACCTTGATTAGTGTTTAATGGCCTAGCAGTTTCAAGGTCTGACTTCTTACTGCCTGGGGGAATCCTTTGTTGGGAGGTGACTAGCTGGCCCTTAGAGTTTCTTGTCTGGAATTCCCCCGTTTTTGAGTGTTGTTCTTTATTTACTGTTATGATTTTAGAGTTTTTAATACTGGTAGTCAGATTTTGTTCAGTTTTTTTTTATCGTGTCAGGAGCGACTTGAGAAACTGCAAGTCGCTTCTGGTATGAGAGAATTGGCCATCTGCAAGGACATTGCCCAGGGGACGCCCAGATGATTTGATGTTTTTATCATCCTTGTGGGAGGCTTCTCTCATGTCCCCGCATGAGGAGCTGGAGCTGATAGAGGGAGTTCATCTGCCTCTCCCCGGATTCGAACCTGCGACCTGTTGGTCTTCAGTCCTGCCAGCACAGGGGTTTAACCCACTGCACCACCGGGGGCAGTGAAAACATGTTATATTTTTTATTAAAAATTCCTTTGCAATCAAAATAATCTAACGCATCTCCTTCCATTTATTCTAAACTTTCTCCTTTCACACTTTACTTTAACCTAAACCCAATTGCCAGATTTGTATCGCTAATTTCTCCGATTACAGCTTTCCTCTCCATTCTCTTCCCTTTCTATTTCCATTTCAGTTTGTTTCGCTTACTAATCTACTTCACAGCCTATCGTGGCCCCTTTTCTCATCAAAAGAAAAGGGTTCACAATGATCTTTGGAGTAAATTGGAATCCATTCCCTTCTCCCAAACTTTTTATTATTATCAGACACTTCCTTCAATTTTTTCCACCTTTATTCTCTCCACCCACTCAAATACATTCATATGGACAATTCCTATTGCTTGCTGCTATCCAATGGCAGATTATTCCTCAGAGGTAGAAAAAGCAGCCATTACTCCAACACCATATCCAAGTCCTTCTCATTTTCCTGTCACGTGGTCCGTCTATCCTTTTATTCATTTAAATTATTTTTATACTGGTTGTTTGGGTCTATAGACTCCTTAAGGCAATATAACATTAAGAGATAAAAAACAATTAAATGCTGTCCTAAGCTGTCCTCCATTCTTTCTATTGTTTTACACACACACACACACTTCCAGACATCCTTTCTTTGTTTTTGTCTTTTTTTCCATTTTGTGCTTACAGTTAGCAAGCATCCAGAGACACAGGTTGAAAATGTCAGCTGTGTCCAATGGCTTCCTCAGGCAGTTAAGCCTTTTGAATGCTTTCGGGCTGAAATTTGTGCTGTTAAATTTATATTCTGTCTCCAACCAAAATGAGCTAAATCATGTTGTGAGTAAAACTGTGCAGCCTAATCACATTTACATTTATTCAGAATGAGCCTCAATGAATGTGTTGCCTTCTGGGCACACAGAACTGTGGCTTTTATAGACAATACATTCAGACTTCTATAGAAACTCCATATTTGGGGGGGGGGGGTCAAAGAGGCTCGGTATAATAGGCCTTCTTTACAATGTTATGTTGAGCTCAGTGAAACTGAAGAAAATAAAAATATTTTCCTTGAAAAACATAAACCACAAAGCTTCCCGTTGAGAGTTTCTGCTGTAAATCATGAAAGAAGCCAAATCCCCCTGGAGCAAATTGCTGGCTGAAATGAAAATATTTCTGATTATCCAGCCTATCTGGCAAGTGGAATATGGTGGAGCCATGGTAGAAACCACCTTGGTAACTATTCCTTTGGGGAATAAACAGGAATAAAGATCAATTGCTCTTTTGTGAAAAATCCTACATGAACTTAATATGGACTATAAACTGTTATTCAAGGCAGACATCATTACAATGCTCTTGTATAGATCTACTCAATAATACTAGAGAAATGGAACAAAATTTTCCTTTAGGGAACACATTTTTCTGTGTGTATATTCACACTGTATGTGCACAGGTTTAGATATTTGTGAGAATACCTGCACCTGAGTTTACTCCTGATTCCTAGGTAAAGGGAAAGGTTTCCCGACATTAAGTCTAGTCATGTCCAACAATGAGGTCACGAAGAGTCGGAGATGACTGAACGAACAACAACAACATGTCCAACTCTGGGAGTTGGTGCTCATCTCTATTTCTAAGCCGAAGAGCCAGCGTTGTCCATAGACACCTCAAAGATCATGTGGCCAGCATGACTGCATGGAGCACCATTACCTTCCTATGGAAGCGGTACCTATTGATCTATTCACGTTTGCACGTTTTTGAACTGCTAGGTTGGCAGAAGCTGGGCCTAACAGCAGGAGCTCACCTCGCTCCCCGGATTCAAACCGCCAACCTTTTGGTCAGCAAGTTCAGAGCTGATCCATACTCACATTCAAAAATACTCTTGAAAGTATGTTTTATGGATTTAATTGTTTTATATCACATTTAAATAATACTGTTTTAAATTTTGGAAATTTGAATTTAGCTGGATCTTTTTACAGTTATTGAATCACATTTTATGAGAAAAGCAGGATATAAATTAAATAAATACTGTATACAGCCATCAGATATACCAAAAAAATCTTAGACTTCTTGAGAATGGTAATTATTTTAGATTACATTCCCTGTAGCTCAGTACTACCATATACCACCGTGTAATCATTCCCACCACAAAATAACCCAGTTTTTTTTTTCAATTCAAAATTTAGTTTTTTGTTTTCATTGTGTAATCACTGCATGGGTAATTCTGTTCATCATGCTGTTTAAAAGGAGCAATGTATTAATGAGTGGCTCCGGGCCTAGAATTTTAAGCGTGTGTAGTTGTCCTTGAAAGAAGTGATTTAAAAACAGTTCTCCTCTTGAATGAAGTGATTTGAAAAGCAAGTTGATTTAAAATATGTGGTTTTTAAGCACTGCAAAAGCATTGGGCCCCCTGGTGGAACAGTGGGTCACCAAGCTGCTAAACTTGGTGACCGAAAGGTTGGCAGTTTGAATCCATGGAACAGGGTGAGCTCTTGTTGTTAGTCTCAGATCCGTCATTGTGGTCCACGTGCATAATGGTCCTCCAAGTGTAGTAAATACTTACTAGTCTCAGCTTCTACCAGCCTAGCAGTTGGAAAACATTCAAATGTGAGTAGATCAATAGGTACCGACTTGGCAGGAAGGTAACAGCGTTCCATGCAGTCATGCTGGCCACATGACCTTGGAGGTGTTTATGGACAACGCTGGCTCTTCGGCTTAGAAATGGAAATGAGCACCACCCCTCAGAGTCGGACAGAACTAGATTTAATGTCAAGGGAAAACCTTTACCTTTACTTAAAAGCAGTTTAAAAAAAAAAAGCTTGGCATAATGGTTACACTCCATATTTTGGCTAAAAAACCAGCATATAATTTGCGATGATTAGAGTATGTTCAGATCCTTAATTTGATAATCATGATTTATTACCATTTGCTAGCAACAAAGAACTTGGGAGAAATGTGTTGATCCCTGCACATTGGGGGGAGGGGGGTTTTATTGTCAGTCCACAATACTTGATACCTTAAAAACCACTATTTTAATGTCTTAGATCTCCATACTTAAGAGGGACAGCTCCCCTTACAGGACTCCTCCAAAGTTCAGTACCACATCATTCACATATACTATGAATCATTTTACTGTAGTTCATATTGCTACTTGAATGCCCAATGTTACATTTTTAAATGTGTTTAATATGTTGGTCCAACAGTCTGTTGACTGCAATAAAATATTGTGTGTGTATACATATGTACGTACCCAAAACAAAATCCTCTTCTCTGCTTTGAAAAATCCAAATTGACCTCGGTAGACAAACCCAGAGAAAGAAGAGGAGAGTAGATCTGTAGTGAAGGCAGCCATCAAGCAGCAGAAGAACGTTTGCCAGGCCAGTTTGATATCCCAGAAAGATGCCACCTCCTCTAGTGTAAACAGAAGGCCTCCCACTGGAGCATGAAAAACAGACGCAATCCCAGCTCCTGCACCAGCTGTAACAAAATTCCTCCTGTAACAAAATACCAGAAAACAATTGATATGTTTTAGTTTTTAAAAAATCATGGAAGGACAGCAAAGCTTTATTTGAGAACAAAATTATAGTTTTGCTGTCAAAAAGCTATGCTGTTCATCTTCAGATCACTGAACAGCAAAGTTTAAAAGATGTTTAATGGTAAAGTTGGAAGAAGGCTAGTTTTACACAGCAAGATGTCCTGAGGTGGCCTTAGACAGAGCCCGGTGCTTACTGATGTTATTATACATTTGAATCTGTTGTTGTTCCCTATCGTGACCCGATAAGAAATTGTTGTTGTTCCTGGGAAATATTATGCAGGAAGGAGAGTTGTGACACCCAGAATCTCCCAACCAATTCTGGAAATGTAATCCAACAAGATAGCATTTCTAGGTTCTGCCTAGTGCACCCCAAGACATAGAGGTATACAGAGATAAGCTGCATTCTATCCAAATGTTTGATTTAGTTGCTATACGTCAGGGATTCTAACACAAACACTAAAAGCTTGAAAGAACTGCATGAAGACCCCATCAAAGTTACATTTTGCAAGCAATCAACATTCAGACTAAAAGGTTAAATCATTTGCCCAAAGACAGTACAATTGTTAACATGGAATTATTTGTTCTTTTGAGAGTACAGTATAGTCTCGCTTATCCAACATAAATGGGCCAGCAGAATGTTGGATAAGCGAAAATGTTGGACAATAAGGAGGAATTAAGGAAAAGCCTATTAAACGTCAAATTACATTATGATTTTGCAAATTAAGCACCAAAACATCATGTTTTACAACAAATTGACAGGAAAAGCAATTCAATACACAGTAACATTATGTAGTATTTATTGTATTTACAAATTTAGCTCCAAAACATTGCATGTATTGAAACAGCTGTGGATCAGAGCAGGAGGCAGACTGCGTTGGATAATACATAACATTGAATGAGCAAAGGTTGGATAAGTGAGACTCTACTGTATAGTGAAAATCATTCAGAGATACATCAAGAAGAATATGATGTGCCTTTTATAACTGTTCACTCCAGCTTTAACATACAATCAATAAGTAGAAAGACAAACCAGAAAGGTAAGCATACTTTCCAGCAGTTTGTATAAAATTATATGCAATTGGGAATTGTAAATGTTGTGTATGTTTATGTGTATGTCCTAAAATAAAAATAATATAATAAGAAATGATAAACCAGTATTTCCATTAATCTTGCCTTATGCTCATAAAACACTAAACTAATATTTGATATAATCTTATGTTTCTTAGGCTGCGGTGGCACAATGGGTTAAATAGCTGAGCTGCAGAACTTTCTGACCAAAAGGTTGGAGGTTTGAATCCATGGGACAGGGTGAGCTCCCATTGTTACCCTAGCAGTTCAAAAACATGCAAATGTGTGTAGATCAATAGGTACCACATCATCTAAAAGGTAACAGCACTCCATGCAGTCATGCCAGCCACATGACCTTGGAGGTGCCTACGGACAATGCTGGCTCTTCAGCTTAGAAATGGAAATGAACACCAGCCCCCAGAGTTGGACTCAACTAGACTTAATGTTTCTTGCCTGAGTATTACCAGTTGATGTATCCTACTAGTTATAGCAATTGTAGGAGCAAGGAGCTGATCAAGAATATCATCATCAGCATTGTGCCTGGATTAGGACTCTCATTCGTTTTCTCTTGGCAAGTAAAAGGTTGAAAGCAGATTTTGAAATTAATTCCTGGATTGGGTGTATATGCCCTGGATTGCTTTAGCAGAGAAAAGGGGCAAGTTCTGATCTGGATGTACAGCAACACTAACACTTTTCTTGTGAATGAGTTCATTCTCTGAAGCTATTCCTCTGTTAGAAGGAAGAGCCACATAGGCATGACCGGGGAGTATGCACTAGCGCATGTTCATGAGTCATAAATCAGGTTCCCTCAGAACCTGTGAGAATAGAGTTTATGTGTCAAGTTTAAAACTTCATGAGTTCTCTCATGTTTAAACTGCTTCCCTTTTGTGAATTGATTAGAAGAGGGAAATAAATTGAAATATAGATTCGCCTTCATATTTTTTGCCATGTTTCTATGTACAACACCTGTATATATTATTGTTTATACCCAATCTGATTTAAAATATTAAGAGATGAACCTGAATCTTAAAAATGGCAATAGCAGGCATTGTTATATTTCACCTGTTTTCAGGTATGTCAGAACCCCAAAATAAACTTATGAATGAAATAGATGTAAGGAAAAGGCAAAAAAAAACCCAACAATGCAAGCCATTATCTGTTGACTTAGGTTAAATGTTCAGTGCAAATACAAAGCAATTCTGCAATATATCAACATACGTTTATAGCTAAAGCAAAATCAATATTTTTGCAAGATAGCTGATTTTTTTCCAGATTTCTATTCTGTAGATAGGAGTGAAAGGGCCAGTTGTACTATCCGTAACCAGACCCAGTGGGTTCAAGTTTCCATTGGGAATTTAATGTGCATGGAAAGATACCTCTCATGTCTTTGCTAGTGCCCATGTGGCAAGTTTCTACCATAAGCATCAGCTTAAGAAACACATCACTAATTGCTGAGGCAAGTTAAAAGGCAAAATGTATCATGTTTATTTGAGCTGTCTGGTTATCCTTCTGCCACAGATAGCTTGTAATAGCTTTTTGTTTGGAGCTGCAACAAACACTTTGGTCAAAGGTTTGAGGTTTATTTACATATTTTCATAATCCAGTGTTTTAAAGCTATAGAACTTGATCTTTCAAACGGTTCCAAATGCAAACTTGACATGAACAATAACAGTGGTATAAAAGATCCAGTTTAAAATAAAACCTTATAGCGTACCCTAAGGATTTGCAAATGCCATCATTTCACAAATAAAAGATAAAGAGTTTGTAATTCCCATCTGTACAGTGAGAGCTGCTGGTTTATCACATCCAAGTATCTTGAAAAAAATGTTATTTATATAAAAAGAAACATTCTCTGTGTCACATTGCATGAAATCATTTTCAGTGGAAAAAATAGTTCATTTAAAATCCTGTGACTATTGTGAATGGAAAGTTCTGTTTTGTGCATGCTCTGCAGCAAGGCAAGCCAGCCACTTTTTCAATATGAGCCAGAAAGCAATTAAAAATCTGATCAGGAGTCACAAACTTTTGTTCTGTTAATTTGACATGCCATTTTTTCTTCCCATTAAATCTTCCTCCACAAATCTTAGTTTGCCATCTTTGGTAAGTATATGTCCATAGAGCAGTGGTTCGCAACCTTCCGAATGCCTCAACCCATTAATACACTTCCTCATGCTGTGGTGACCTCCTAATCATAAAATTATTTTCATTGCTACTTCGTAACTGTAATTTTGCTACTGTTTTGAGTTGTAATGTAAATATTTGATATGCAGGATGTATTTTCATGCACTGGACCATATTTGGCACAAATACCCAATATGCCCAAATTTGAATACTGGTGGAGTTGGAGGAGGGGATTGATTTTTTCATTTGGGAGTTGTAGTTGCTGGGATTTTTAGTTTCCCTATAATCAAAGAGCATTCTGATCTCTACCAACGATGGAATTGAACCACATTTGGCACACAGAATTCCCATGACCAAGAGAAAATACTGTAAGGGTTTTGGAGTTGTAGTTCATCTATCTCCAGAGAGCCCTGTGGACTCAAACAATGATGGATCTGGACCAAACTTGGCACGAATACTCAATATGCCCAAATGTGAAAATTGGTGGAGTTTAGGGAAAATAGATCATGACATTTGGGAGTTGTTATTGCTGGGATTTACAGTTAATCTACACTCAAAGAGCACTCTGAATCCAACCCACAAGGGATCTGCACCAGACTTGGAACACCACCTACATGGTCAACATTGAATGCTGGTAGGGTTGGGGGAGGGCTGTTTTTGAATTCTGAGAGTTTTAGTTCACCAACACACCAAAAAGGAAGAGAAGGACAGGCGGAGAGATCTTCAGCATTCTCTGCCAAAAGGATTCCCAAGACCATTAGAAATATGTGTTTCCAATGGTCTTTGGCAACCCCTCTGAAACCCTCCTCTTGACCCCCCTGGGGGGTCCCGACCCCCAGGTTCAGAAGCACTGTATTAGCAAGATGTATAAAACAAAGGTAATTTTACTTCTGGCTTAGCATGCATAGGATTTCATGGCAGTGCTGTCTAAAATGCAATATTATTATCTGCAAAGGAGGTGTGGCTTTGGAGGAGGGATGTATGTATTCATTTCCCTCTCCCACTTGAAAAGGTCACCCATTTCTCTAAAGAGAAGGAATTAAAGTAACTGTTCAGCACTACCACAGACATTATGGTTATACATAATAATCCATTATTGAGTCTAACGATGTCACTAATCTTACTTTTATATGTTATACTACCTTTGAGAAAACCCCAGCGCACCTTTCAAAAACTACTTGCATCGTATAACATACTTTAATAAATGATTAAATCCCTTACTTGTCTGCTGTGTTCCAAAATCTTGTAAAGGACATAAGATTTATTCCAAGGATCTTTGGCTTGAACTGGCTCATTCCATAACCAATTACTGCTCTGTAAACAAAAGCCAAAAAAAAAAATTATTGTTATTGTTAGTTTGAAAAACTTGAAAGAAGTCACATAATTTGTTGCCTCAGAGTTACAAAGTAACTTATATTCATTTTTCAGTCTATGGGTTCTCAGAGGTTTTGAGGTGGGGGGGGGGGCAGAGGAAAAGAGAGATATGAGGGAGAGCATGGCATAATGAGACTTAAAACGCAGTATTATAGCATGAATCTGTTTAGGATTTCAATCATCCATGCCCTTTTCCAAGTCCCTCTATTCCATTACCATTCCTCCCTTCCCGTAAATTCCTCAGCAATAGACTTATAATGGTCTTTGACCATTGAGAATGTTTAGTACTCATGGGACTGAAACATTGTGCTTTCTCAAGAACTAGAGTGGGGAAACTTTAGCCTTCAGATATTTTAGCCTCTACCCCTACTTCAAGCACACCCAGCATGGCAGGTGGCAAGGGACTGAATTGCAGTCCAGATAATCTGGAGACTACAAATTCACCCCAATCAGAAAGTTTATAGAGTTCTTGAGCAGCCTTACGCCTAAATACTCTGAAGGCACTCAATTACATCTACTATCAGAAGCTAAGCAGGGTCAGGTGTGGTTATTAATTCAAATGGAGATAGTCAAGTAGTACCAGAATATTTTAGAGGAAAGTAAAGGCAAATGGCCTCAAAGTATGCTTTAGCTAAGAAAACTATTAAATGTGTAAGTTAATGGATGACAAATATTCATACATTACTTTTTTTACAATCTTAACATAACTCATTTTTCTTTAGAAATAGCACTGCTTGTTGAAATACACATCTTGCTTTATTCTAAAGGTTTACTAATAAAGTAGGGGGTATATATTCAAATGTAAATGATATATATGTAACACAAAAATTTGGAACTCCAGTAAGCCTGAGTGTAAATCCCCCCCACACCAAAAAAAAACTTATAAGGGGCTTCATGCACTGCCAAAATGCCAAAAGTAGCTGGAAGTTCTACTTTTGAAGAACAGGTATAGAACAATGTAATGAATAATGTAGAGGAACCTTCTTTGAGGACAGCAAAACCATATTGGATGCCCCAAGAATACATCACTAATGTAAATCCACAGAACTAGGGCCTTTTATGGAGATAAAAATAGCCTCTCTCATGCTGAGTGTGTGTGACTTACTCAGGATCACCCTGTTGGTTTCCAAAGTTGAACAGGGATTCAAACCCTGGTGTCCTGGAGTTGGGAGTTCAGTACTCAAGCCGCTATAGCATACTAGGTCTCAAACTAATTCCTTACCCCAAATGAATCATGGGACCTTCTGGTCCACAGAAGAGTCCAGATGCTACTGCTAGAACACAAGAGCCAAATGTTCCCAGAAAAGTCCTGATATTAAAAACATGTGGAATCGATGCCCCATTCAGAAAACCAATGACTTCTGGTAATCCACTTGGTGCGCCAGCTGGACAAAAAAACTGTGGGGGGGAAACTGTGTGGTATTACTGTAGCAGTCACATAAACACATGAACAATTGAGTTCCCAAAACTCGAACCCAGTTGTTCCCAACCTTTTTTTTTATCAAGGAGCACTTGACCAGGGACCACTCTCCAACATTAGTACCAAAAGGGTTACGAATCAGTTTTTGGTTAACTTTGGATTCGGTTTGGCTATTTAGGGTGTTGATTCAGAAAATTGCATTGGAAGGCCACATCTGCTCTAGTTTATATATGCCATCCAGTAGTCGCCATCTACTTGCCCACAGAAAATGATATTTAATACGCCTTGGCACTATAAGAGGGTTTCGTGAGACCAGTCACTCTCATTGCAATGGTGTAGTAATGATGAGGCGGTGGACCACATTTTAGTTATTGCGGACCACTGGTGGTCCACGGACCACAGGTTGGGAACCACTGCTCTAACCAAATGTGTTAGGTTTTTCTTTCATTCAAGACTATGAAATAAGCTAATTTAATTACACTTAATGGCATGGAACTATGATTTTGTATAAATTCTCTATAGCCTATAGTCTAGTTTGTGCAATCTGTTAGGTTTCATTGTTTATTTTATTATAAAACTGGAGTTAACTTGAATTACCTTCCTGGGGTTGTTCATTAACAATGCCTCTGAATGCAACATCACCTCCTCGATAACCTTGGCTTAAATTCAGTTTCTAGTCCTACTTGAAATTCAATCAATTGCTAAATGGTAAACGAATGCCTCAATAAATCCAATCAATTCAATGGATTTTCTGTAGGAGGAACTAGCACTTATATTTACACCGTTAATTGTAAAAGTTCAGTAAGCAGGTCTCTCAGGATAGAACCTAGGCTCTTCTAGTTAGCCTGTGCTCTGCCATTATATTGTGCCATGGTCCCAGCTTGGCTCTTCTCTCTCTTTTTTAATGGACAATGGCTCTAAACTGGCTTGTGAACAGTTTAACAAAAACAATACAGTGAAACCAAAGCCAACAAGAATTTCAAACTACATGGAAGTAAATATAAACAATCTTTAATGATATCCTATGGAATAAAAGTATCTTCACGTTTCTATAAAAAGTAGAGAAAAGATAATTCCATTTTTCTAGCGGAGAGCATCCCAGCTGATTTTAATGTGGTATGCTTTTCAATCTCCCATATAGTTCCAAGTTAGCCACTGGGCCATGCTGGTTTGGAAAAGAGATATGATTTTCTTTTATCCTTTCTGTTCATTTTGATGTTACAGAGTTAGTCGTGCTTCAGATAAGCAATGTAAGAAAAAACAATTCTGCTGAACCAGTTTCTTCTGGTAAGTTCATAAGTGTATTTAGATGCCCTTTTTAAAGGTTTATATTAGCAATATTCCAACTGTGCTGACTACAGCAGACCAAACTTATGTATTGCCTTATTCAGGCATTCTTTGGTTATTTTTAAATGGCACACACATGGGAAGTGCTTTTCTGTTCACAACCAAGTGAGAATCATGTGGAGAGTCACTATGTGAATAAGAACTTCTCATCTACAGAACTATTATCCCTCCATGGAAGCAAACAATAGAGGGAGATGAGGTTAAGTATTCCTCTCTGCTCATGTGTTAATTAAAACCTAACACACAACATCTCAAGACTAAATTTGTGGAGTGCACCAGCACTGGGTCTTACACACTTTATCTATAAGGCAGCATCTTCCATCTCTTACAGCACAGGAAAAGTTGAGTATCCCTCATCCAAAATATTTCAGACCAGAAGTGTGTTGAATTTTGGATATTTTAATATACATGTTATACAAATGCCCTGAAGATATTTTTTATAAACAATAAAATTATAATGTTACATGAAATTACATGAAACAAAGTTGTACATTGCTAAGATATCAGAAAGCAAAGGCCACTCATGTGAATAAATTTAGATTTTGGAGTATTCTGGATAAAAGATGTCAACCACATTCAAAGCAGATCAGAAAAATGCAGTAGTCTAACCACTTACCACTACCAATCCCGATGATACAGTGATCATAAGAAGTCCAATTCCAAGTATGCAGATCCAGGTCATGTGAAAGCTGTTATTCTATCAGTTTTAGAAATAAATAAATTAGTATTATTAGTGTAGAAATGACATTCTTTACATTTTTCACTTTCCTTATCAATTCTACCAACTTATTTCATCCTTTCCTTATCAAGTGGCTTCTAACTGTCAACACTTTCAGACAAAATCACTAACTATATGGAAGTCGAAAATTATTTCGTTTCTAGAATTTTAGAGATGATTCACCTGTTTTAAGTTATTTATTTGAAAAGCTATTAAATATGAAGGATTATTTCAATATTTATTTACAGAATTAATATTCTGCCCTTCTCATCCCGAAGGAGACTCAGGGCGGATCACATAACACATATACGGCAAACATTCAATACCAACTATACAATGACAAGACAGACAACAGATAAAGTTATATAGGCTGTCCCATCTTTTGGCATCTTTGGAGGCTGTGCTCAGTTCTGGCCACAGGGGGGTGCTGTGGCTCCATCTCCTTGCCGAAGAGCTTTTCTTTGTTCATAAACTTCCCTTTTCTGATTGAAACACCATACCTAAAATACCTCCCCGATTTAATGTGGTTCCTTTTTATCGACTCACATTTGTTTTCAAACTGCTAGGTTGGCAGAAGCTGGGCAGAAGGTCAGGCGCTCACCCTGACCTGGGCTGCGAACTATCAACCTTCCAGTTGGCAAGATTTATTGCAGCTTGGTGATTAACCTGCTGTGCTACAGCCTGTATTACATACTGAATATTGGTAAGCATTTTAAATTATTTAAAGGTGTGAAACAAGGAGCATTGCTTTACACTGCGTCAGACCATTTAGTCATATAACCTAGTATTGTTCTCACTCATTGACAATGACTCTGCAGTGTATCAAGCAAGATTATTTCTAAATTGTATATGAAGATACTAGAAAATGAATTTAGGATCTTCTTCATGTAAAGTATGTATTCTGCCATTAAGTAATGATGTCTTCCAAATACCCTGTTTCCCCAAAAATAAACCCACCCCAAAAATTAGACTTAGCGTAATTTTTCAGGATTTTTGGAGATATTTGAAAAATAAGCAAAAATAAAGTCAATTTGGAAAAAGAAGACATCCCCTGAAAATAAGCCTTAACACATCTTTTGGAGCAAAAAATAATATAAGATCCAGTCTTATTTTGGGGGGAACAGGGTAGCACTTCTAGTATCACATAACACAGATTAACCTGTGATGCTAAAAACCACTTATATTTTATATAATCATTTAGATTTCAAGAAATATCCACAACATAAACAACAACAATTCTTTATTGATTAGTCAATTTTGACCATATCAAAACATGCAAAACATACAAAAACATACACATCGCTTCTCGGCCTTTTGGCTAAGATCAAGTGTAGTGTGTGTAGTGTAACATAAAAAACCAACAAAATAAATGTTTAGTCAAACTGATTCTTCTTTTTGAAAAGTTAATGTCCCTGCTACCTTAAAAACCCAACTAGAACATATTTCAATGCAAATCTAAGTCTTTGTTACCCTAGACAATTAGAGTACTTTATTGGATTGCTGTAAGTTTTCTGGGCTGTATGGCCATGTTCCAGAAGCATAATCTCTTGACATCTCACCCACATCTATGGCAGGTACAGATATATAACCCTCACTTGCCTAGTTTCCAACAGACCTCACTGCCTCTGAGGATGCCCACAGATATGTGTGAAATGTCAGGAGATAATACTTCTGGATCATGGCCATACAGCCTGGGAAACTCACAGCAACCTGGTGGTTCCAGCCACAAAAGCCTTCAACAACACAGAGTACTTTATTGTCATAGCCGTTTCCTCCAGAATTCTGGGATTTTTATTTTGGCAAGGCATTAGCTACAGCTGTCTAACAGAGAATTTCATATGTTCCGCAGAAATACAAATACTTAGCAAAGAATTTAAAATATCCCACAGAAAGATAAACTCCAAATTTCCATCAGTCAACAACACAGCAGTTAAAGGCATGTGATAGTGATGAAGTAGTGTAATGTGAAAGAAACAATATTTTGCAAAAATAAAAGAAATAGGGTAAAAGTTATATCATTATAGCATGATAATGTATATAAATCCACACCAAGGAAAACCTGATAGCCAAAATGCTAGATCTAATTTCGAACAGATTTAGAATGCATGCATTATAATCACTGAAAAGTTTAGTTATTTGACTGGAACTTTTCTAAGTAGAACTAGCATTTTGCCTTTCCTTTCCTTGTTTTGGTTTTAGCCAGAGCCATGTTGTCTCCAGTGCACATCACAGGTAAACAGACTCATGAATTTTCAAAAATGTCATGGTGTTGAGGTTAGAGTCACTTGTATCTGAGTGAGAAAGATGCCTCAATGATGAAATAGTTCAGCAAACTACCACAGATTTCCTGCCTTAGCTTCAGGTCAGCTCTTTGACTGGAAAGTGCAAACATGTAGCATATTGTAGTGATTAAAGAAAACTGGATAGCATATAACATGGTCACCTAGCAAATCAAAGAAGTTGGTAACTCAGACATGAGATCTTTTCCCTTGATTCCTTAAAGTTGACTTATATGTGGATTAGATTGTCAAGATGTTGATGTGGTTCTTGATAAATATTGCACAAAAAGAAAATAACATAAGTTAAACTTCTATCTGTACAAACAAAGCAATTCTGGGAGGCAATATAATAATAACAATATCAACATGTTTTGTTTATACTGTACCAAGAGATCAAGATTGGGAATTATGTATGTTTGGTGAGATATAGTGGTGACCGAAGACCCACATAGTTAAAGCAGTGGCATTTCCTGTAGTAACCTATAGATGCAAGAGCTGAACCATAAGGAAAGCTGAGAAAAGGAAGATAGATGCTTTTGAACTGTGGTGTTGGAGGAGTGCCTTGGACTGCAAGATCAAACCAGACCATACTCCAGGAAATAATGCATGACTGCTCACTGGAGGGAAGGATATTAGAGGCAAAGGTGAAGTACTTTGACCACATAATGAGAAGACAGGAAAGCTTGGAGAAGATAATGATGCTGGGGAAAATGGAAGGAAAAAGGAAGAGGGGCCGACCAAGGTCAAGATGGATGGATGTTATCCTTGAAGAGACTGGCTTGACCTTGAAGGAGCTGGGGGTGGTGATGGCCAACAGGGAGCTCTGGCATGGACTGGTCTATGAGGTCATGAAGACTCAGAAGCGACTGAATGAATAAGCAACAAAGTGGTGGCCAAAGGCACATGAAAAATTGTATAACCGAGCAGACTTGAACTTGGGTCTCTCTGTGTGAAGTTGAGCACATTTAATATAACTCTATGCTAGTTTTTCTTGGGGGGAAAATTGAAATGTAGAAGAAGAATGTGGAATAATTAATGACCATATTTGCATAAATGGAATACAAATGAGAGGAATTTGCCTAATTGGAATACTAACATAATGTGCAAAATAGATGCCTGGATTGGAGGAAGTGGAATTCAGCAACCAAGCCATCTTCTTGTGAGAGTCAGCATGATGTAGTGCAAGGATTCCCAAAGTAGTGGTTTGAGTATTGGACTATGTCTCTGGAGATAAGGGTCTGAATCCCTGCTCAGACATGAAGTCCAGTGAATGACCTTAGGCATGTCACACTCTCTGGGCCTCAGAGAAAGGCAATGGCAAATCCCTTCTAAACAAATCTTGCCAAGGAAAACCCATATGTCAGAAATAATTTGAACACACAGAGCAATAAATGATTACACTATGTAACACAACATTTGTTCCTGGGTTGCCAATGTCATTTTGTAATTGGTTCTATCACAGAAATATAGAAAACGTCTCTTAAACTGCAAAAACTTTGTTTTCGAAGGACATCCTGCAGCACATTTTGCTATCATTTTTCAATGAATACTTTGAGTCTCAACCAATTCAACAGGATTTGTGGCAGCTACAAAAACGAAGTTTCTGGAGTATAGCAACTACTTTCAAAATAAGTACCATACAATTGAATAGGAAATAACACGTTCAAACCAGGAACAGATTTTTTTACAAATTTTGTAACATAGTGTATCTCAGTCTAAATACCCTAAAGGTGTGATCTTGGGTGCTAAACAGGGTTAGTACTTGCATGGGAGACCACCAAAGAAAATAGGTAAAGATAAAGGTTTTCCCCTGACATTAAATCCAGTCGTGTCTGCCTCTGGGGTTGGTGCTCATCTCCATTTCTAAGCCGAAGAGCTGGCATTGTCCGTAGACACTCCCAAGGTCATGTAGCCAGCATGACTGCCTGGAGTGCTGTTACTGCATGGAGTGCCGTTACCTTCCTGCCAGAGTGTTGCCTATTGATCTATTCACCTTTGCATGTTTTTGAACTGCTAGGTTGGCAGAAGCTGGGCCTAACAGCAGGAGCTCACACCACTCCCCGGATTCGAACCTGCAACCTTTCGGTCAGTAAGTTCAGCAGCTCAGCGCTTTAATCTACTGCGCTACCAGAGGCTCACCAAAGAAAATATCAGGTGCTATAATCAGAAGGCAGAACTGGCAATATCACCCCTGAGCATTCCTTGCCTAAGAATATCCTATGAAATTCATGGGGTCACCATAAGTCAATAGGCAACTTTAAAAAACATGATATTCTCATTAGAAGTCACAGAACCAAACAAAAGGGAGAAAGCCCAGGGAGAGACATTCAGAGGCTGGAGTTTATATTCATCAATCTCCTTTTGCTCACCTTTCCTGCAAATGAAATCCTCCTGGTGTTTTTAATTATGGTGAAATGCAATGGCATGGAAGTAATTCCTTCTTGGTCTCTTCTCAGCTATTCCAATTGCAACTTTTAAGGAGTCTATATTTGTTTTCACTTTGATGGCAACATTTTTAACCTCTGCCAGGTCAAAATGAAGACCAAATGCTCTGAACTATTTATCCGCGAAGTCCTCTTTATTGACAAGTGGGTTCTTGTTGATGACACACTCAATAATATGCAGATTCCTTATAGACCACTTCAAGAGCTCAGCATAGCTGGCCCTCAGTCAAGGAAACAGAAACTGTTATACCACATATTAGCCACTGGGCCTATTAGACCGGTTGTAAAAGGTGAGGACAGCATTCACTGTCCTGGATGAATGCATTGCAATTTCTGCTGTCTCAGACATAATGATCTGGTTTTTTGTTTTGTAGTTAGATTTACTCTATCCAGACTTTTCAAAAACAGAAACATACACAACACCAGGATCTCTGATCTAGATCCTGGAATGATAATAGGAAAACAACTCATCCATACTTAGAGGGAAAAAGAATATATTACCAAAAGATACAACAAAACAAGACTCATATATGGCTATTAACATGCTAATGTATAGGTACAACTTTAATTTAAAAAATGCTTTATTTAAATATATATCTCATCACATTGGAAAAGGCTGCAACAGTGCCTGCATTACTAGAATGTAGCCCACCTGACTTACCAAACAAGCCAGCTGTGGGACAGGTGGGGGCAGAGTCATGGGGGCCACCATCTTTGCTGTCTGGCAGCCAGCTTTCCAAACATTTTCAGTGTTTGGGGAGCCCAGGGAGAGAGAACAGGGGCAGTAGCCAATCCATTTTGAATCTGGTGGTTCAAACGTATTGATTGCCCAGAGGCCAATCAGAGTGACAACTTAGCCTTCAATTCAGTCAGAGTGGGAGTATAAAGGCAATTGCCAGGAGCTCCTCTTGGCAGTTGCCTTCAAGGGAGTCCCCTTGAGGGAACTCAGGGGTTGTATTCAAGATGGGTTCAGACCAACAGCAGTACAGCACAGCATTCCCTTGCTGAGGGTTATCTCATGCTCTCTGGCTTCAGCCTGGAGCAATATCAACAGATATCCAGATCGATACCAAAATCCAGGTCCCATGTGTCACTGCCAACCTTATTATCAAACCAATAAAGTTGTGACCATTGTTATTCCAGTGTATTTACATGTGATTATTTGGATGGGGTGGACTCACCCTGCATACACAAAATAGTTTTCCAAGTCAAGGGAAATAATAGGTTCACTACATTCTATATTAGTTGGGCCTCTCCAGGAGAACTGGGTTGAAGTCTGGGTGCCTCATTTTAAGAAAAATATGCATAAGTGGCAGAAGATGCAATGCAGATGATAAGAGAACAAAACTTATGAGTAAAGGTGACATGAGAAAATGTCATAGGAACTGTTTGTCTTAATGAAGAAAAAACTCAGGGGACAGACTGCACTTTTTAATTATTTTAAGACTATCAAAATTGGCCTCAGAGACAGAGGTCCCAGTTATATATTTCCCAAGCAAGCCAGTGATTTAGCAGAAGCCCTGCCCCTTTGTACCATGTGCTCAGGGAAAGTATATGGCCAGACATGAAGAAAAGCCTCCAATAGAAGCCTTAAAAATACAGTGAAGAGTCAAAGTTGGCTCTGCAAACCTAACTCATCTGCTGCACTCTCCTTAGAGACTGTCTCAGATCAGGGGCTCAGCAAACCACCACCGCCCTCCTGTCCCTTTAGAGTCTAAATAGAGTGCTCACAGAGATCACATGGCCAGAAACAAACTACAGTAGAATCATAGATTTTGAAGTATCCACAAATGCCATCTACTCCATCTCCCTGCCATGCAGAAACACACAATCCAAGTGCTCCTGATAGATGGCCATCCAGCCTCTGTTTAAAACATCCAGAGAAGGAGACTCCAACATACTCCAAGGCAGTGTTATTCCACTGCCGATTACATTGTCCTGGTCTTTGGAGACATACCTTGGCTTATATAGAATTTGAAAACTGGGCCCTTCTTAATTTTCACAAAGCAACATCAAGATTCATCCTAGGACCTCAATTTGAGCCCAAAGAGAACATCCAATAGGAACCTGGATGAGGCAAAAATGGTCCCTGCTGATAAATGCTCAATCATTAAGAGAAGCTATGGAAAGCACACAACCTTCTCAGGACATACCCACAAAATTGTCACTATCCAACAAAAAGAAATGTGACAAAATGAAAGATAACAAAACAGAAATTTACGTTTACAAGCAATGTGAAAAGAAAAGTTGGCTTCATTGTTTGCTGCCATTTTACCTGAATATAATTTTCTACCAGCTCCCATTTCAGCTGGATGAGACAATCAATTATTTGATGGATTAGGAAACCCAGGATTCCTACTACTATTCCAATTAGGCCCATCACCAACCATCGATCCCAGTCCAATCTAAAAATGAAAAGAAACAAGCACAACAATTAACTAATTAATAGTTTGCCTTTTCCTAAGCATCCTAAAAACCTAAATAGGTATATTCCAGAATCTTGACTTTAGAAATAAATCTGTGGCTGGCACTTTTTCAATTTGGAAAAAAAATCAACATTTTCCAGCCATTGTTTTGTATAGATATAGTAATGTCCTGGGAACCCAGAAGGCATAAAGAAAAACCATGCATGTAGACTTTGTAGGCTACATGACTCAGCTTTGGTTCACCCACAGATGCATTCAGTGTTTTATGAGAGATAAACAAATTTAATAACCTTACCTTTTGAAAACAAAGCATAGAAGAAATTTCAGTTGGACGTCTTCTCCACAAGTTTGCAGAGAAACCATGGCACATTGGACTCAAATCCTTACAGTAGCCTAATTTGCATGAGTCATTGCTATTTAGTTCACCCAACTATTTTACATGTATTTTAACACTGTATTGAATTCGTTTTTGGATGCTTCACCGCGAACTTTCTAATTAAAAGTGCATTACTTGTAGATTAGTGCATTACTTGTGGATTAGTTTTATTATAAATTATGAAAATTTTCTCCTCACAGAAAGTTTAGAGTACCTCCTTCCCAGTGAAAAATGCTTCATTATATCCCTGGCAATTTTATTTATTATCACCAATGGGTTCCATTTTGCTCTTTTAATTATTTACTACAACAGCTTTAATTGCTAAAAGATGCAGATTTATTATTCTTATTTCTAACGGTTAGGATGCCAGAATGCAAAAGATCTAGTTCTCCCTGGGGCTTTTTAACAGTTCTGAGTTTGTTTGTTTTTCCAAAGCAGGTCCAATTTTTCTTACTCTTTCCAAAGTAGACTGCAAGATATCCTAGTCACAACAAACATTCTCTCCAACAATAATTTCATATGCAATATGGCTGTGCATTATTATCCATGTATTATGTTCATGATTTTAAAAAAAAAATCCTAATTTTTTTGGGTATTTGTATTTCTTGTATCTTCCTTTCCCTTCTGAGATTTGTGATAGTTGCGAGGTCCTGTATCACTTGCTTGGGAGGGAGTTCACAGTGGTAGCAGCAATCCTTTCTGTTCCCCATCCCCAAATATGTGCAAACAGCAGCCTTGTACTTCAGGAGGCAGGTGGTAACAGTACTTGCTATTAACTGGGATATGGGTCTCAATGTACTGCAAATGCCTTTTCATTTTGTGTCCCTTCCTGTATCCATTCCTCATAACCTGTCCAATCTATAGGCACTCTTCATTGTCACCAGTAGATGGCAATGCAGGGCTTTTTAAAAAGTAATAATTGAAAATAATTTCGTATACAATTAATGAATACAAATGAAGAGGAAATAGTGGAAAGTATTTGCAAATGGTGAAGGATTTACAAACTATACATCTTTCTAAACTTTAGCCCTTTTAACATGAGGAGTGTCTTGCTGAATATATACTTCTCCCCTTCATGACTGTCTTTTTGAGACAACTTATGTTAGACATATTCCATAATATGACTCCAAGAAAATGGGTGGATTGAGGCAGTAGATCCCAACAACAAAAACCATTTCATCTGACTCAGTTCTTGTGGGTTTTTTTCGGGCTATATGGCCATGTTCTAGAGGCATTTCTCCTGACGTTTCGCCTGCATCTATGGCAAGCTTCCTCAGAGGTCTGCTGAATTTCTAAAATTCAGATGAAAATTCATTTCATCTGAATTTTAGATGGGGTTGGTAAATGTGGCCTTCAAGATGTTATTGGATTGCATTTTATTTTGCTGATTGTTTTTCAATAGACTGGAAACCAACTTGATTTATCTGACTTATGTCAAACTCTTACATAAATTATGATTAATAACATTATCCTTTAATGATGAAACAGAAACTTGTGGGATTCTGATTATTCTTTTTAAAAGTAATCATTTAGATATCTTCAAATAGTAGGGAAATGATTGCTTTTGTAACTACTCTTATAAACAATTACATTTAGAAAGCCACTTGTACAAAATGGTTAAAGGTTCCTTTTTATTCTAAAGTTCTTTTGGGGAGGGGTGATTAAATTGGCCCTAGAGAGGGGGGGAAAGGTGATCCTTCAGGAAATCTTGGCATGATGAGACCCCAAAATATCATCATTTGGATCTAGCAGATGCAATAAATCTCTCCTCCCTGGAAATTCATTAGTTTGGAGGATTCAACCCAAGGCAGCTTTCCTACCCTTGAATGCTGTAGCACCAAGGAAAAACTTCACATTGTAATTTGTGTTTTATGCCTTCAACTTCTTTCCAACTTACTGCAGTCCTAAGGCAAACTTTCCATTGGCTTTTCTCAATTTATTCAGAAGCGATTTTCCATCACATTTCTCTAAAACTAAGAGCATTTGACTTGCCCAAGGTCACCCTGTGGGTTTCTATGACTGAGCAGGGATTAAATCCTTATCCCCCAAAGTCCAAGTCCAACACTCAGACTATAATACCACATGTCCCCCATTTAATAATTCCAGCCCAGGAATGATTTTTAAGGTATTAAGGATGTTGTAGTTACCTGTAGCTTTGTCCTTGCAGCCATTTCTTATAAATCTTACTGTGTGAAGGCAAATAATCCAAACTTTCAGGAACCGACAGGTATTCTCTTTCCTTCTCCCGAAAATTAATGTTTCTTAAGCAACTTTGGTTGTTGTCACCACTGTCACACCTGGGATCAAGAGACTCGATCAAATCTGGTCGGTCTTCGGCCAGCAGCATTTGCTCTTCGCCCTCATTTGTGCTCCTCTTGTGAGAAAGGAGGGTTGGCATTTTGCAGAACCAAAGGTGACCCAAAAAGAGACCCAAGACCGCAACCTGTGAAGGGGACTCCCTATTGAGTCCACAGTGACCAATATGACAGGAAAGATTTCAAGTGTGGAACAAGAGCTCACTGGCTCATGTTGTGGGTTGGGTTGCAGCAGCGGCACAGAGATTGAGATGTTTGTGTTACCACAGCTGGCTAGAACTAGATTTTTCTTTATGGGTAACTTTCTTACTAGATTGGCTTGGCATACAATTGATCCAACACTACTGCTTCCTAATAACACACAGGATTTCAATTCGACAGTTCTTTGGGAACTTATTATACAAAAGGCTGAAAAAAAACATGCATACTCTCATTTAATGCTAGGCATCAGACCTCTGCTCTGACCAGACCACCAATTTCTGTGGGGGGGAACCTTTCGGGGGGGGGGGACGAACCCTTCTTATTACAACTTCTTGTTGACCTCTTGAAACAAATAAGCAGAAGAAACATGGAGAAAAAGCAGTAGTCATGGTACACCTGCTCAGAAACAAGGAGAGACAGTAAAGTAGGAGTTGCAATAGCTATTATTAGGTTGCTCAGGTAGGTGAGTCTCAGAGCCATTTGTCAAAAGATCTTCAAAACCTAGAACGTTCATTCCTTACCACTTAAATTCAAAGTGGAAAAGTGAACATTGAAGTTATTTTGGATGCACAGCCCAGACTCTACTCATTCCTTCAATGAGTGGAGTCCAGCCATCTCACTTTAGTCAGAGATGAGGACTAGCTCATAGCTGGGTCACTTAATGATTCCAGGGCTCAGTTAAATGCTACATTTATTTATTTTTTCTCTCTCTCTACAAAGATATAAACTCCTATGTAGTGGTGGGAGGCCCATCAAACATTATCTTTAAATAGATGAACTGCTTGAGATCATCACTTTGTATAACCAGCGCATAGCAGTGCTTCTAAATCAGTGGTTCCCAACCTTTGGTCTTTCCGGTGTCTTGGACTTCAGCTCCCACAATTCTTAACAGCTGGTATGATGGCTGGGATTTCTGGGAGTTGAAGTCTCAAACACTTGGCAGACCAAAGGTTGGGAACCACTGTTCTAAATGTTGATATTTGTGGCAATTGAGTCCGCACACATCGAGAGAGAGGTAGGAAGAAACAGAGGAAAAGAGACTTTCTGCAGAAACTTCCTCCATCTCAATGGAGACTGGAACTGAATAATAATATGCTGTATAATATCAATCTGGCATTAATTAGAATCATAGACCTGGAAGAGATTTCATGGGCCATCCAATCCAACCCCTGCCAAGCATTCAAAGCACCCCTGACAGATAGACATCCAGCCTCTGTTTAAAAGAAAGAGCCTCTACCACACATTGTGGCAGAGAGTTCCGCTGCTGAACAGCTCTCACAGTTAGGAAGTTCTTCCTCAAGCTCATGTAGAATTTCCTTTCCTGTCATTTGAAGCCAATTACTTACCAATTTTTCTTGTACAAAGTCGTCTGCAGCTTACAGGCTTGGTCTTGAGGGCCCATTGTACATTCTGCTACTGAGAGACACTAGGCTAGTGAGAATGCAAGACATGGCCTTTTCTTTATGAAACCACACCTCCATTGTGCAATTTCCTCCCAATTAACACCAGGTGAGTAATAAGGACATTGATATTTTGCTTAGCATTTGTAAATTCGAAGTGTTGATTGGTAGTTTTATTCTTTTAAAGTGTTTTGGTTAGACTGGTCATACCCCTGTTGGCCAGGTTTTCCCCAGATTATAAGCACACCATTGTGAGCACATATCAACTATCACCTGTCTTATATTCCAAGTTTATTTCTTTTTTTAAAAAAGTGTAAGTGTAGTCCCTTTTGATAACCACAGTATAGGACAAAATGTGGTGGCTCCCTTCTGTGAATTTGCTTTGTAATAAATTATTTTCCTTTCAGACTCAAAGGAAGGCAGATATCTGAATGGTGCAGAAATTGTCAAGTGCAATAAGCAAGGAAGAAGCGCATTGTGAGGGGAAGCCAGGATGAGGAGTAGAGTTGGAGGAAAGGCAAATGAGCAGCGCTTATGACATTGTGTATGCAGCAAGGAAGAGGCACCTGAAAACATTACTCTGTAATGGTCTCTCAGATCAGCTGCTTCTGTACAGAATAATATGAAGGTCAAAAACTCAGTGAAATAAAAAATGCAAGAATATGCTGTATTAATATATTTAGAATGCACAGAATGATTTCAAAATTAGAATAATTTGGCAATCTGTAATTTATATATTTGGATTTGAGAAACTGGAACATCACAACTAATATTTTTAGTACTCTCTTCCTAATATGTTTAAGATTTACTATTTTAGCACTTGTTATGCATACTATCTAGAGGGGTTTATGATAGGATATGTAATAAGAACTGATTCTAAGAAAATCAATATTAAAAGAGCTAGAATTGAAATGAATGCATTTAACGAATGAATAAAATGCAATAATGGTACTAGGTGGAAGAAGCATAGGAAATAACATTATCTGAATCTACACAACATGCATTGCTACTTTATATGTTAAACAAACAGTGTCTGAACAGGAAGATGAAGTATCTCGTGCCCTGGTATTGCAAATATGTTTACTATAAACTTAAAAAACAGTCACAATATTGCATGTTTACACAAGAGTGTCTGATGTCAATAACGTCAAACAAGGAAACTTCCAGTACTTTCTTGCTGCCCAACTATTTATACAGCAGGACAACAATGAAAGAATACTGCAACTATTTTACCTGAACTATTTTGGCTTTCCAACAGGTAGAAGTTGGAGAGACATCCCACCCTTTCCACACCAAAAAAACTCACAACCTGATATTCTAAGAAGCTTCTAAGGCAACAAAAGCAGTTTCCCTGACTTATAGTAATAGAGTTCAGCCAATTAAACTTAACATACAACCAGAAATCATGTCAAAAGTCTATTACCGAAAGAGAACTTTGAGCTCAATCACTAGCTATGGTGCCCCTCAACTCTGATTCTTCTCAGATTTTGTTCATCTGCAACTTGGCCAGGCTTCAATCAGCGTGATTGAGATAGCTGCTCATTGATTATAAGCATCCAGATTTCCATATCGATGTAATTAAACAGATGGCAGAACAGGCACAGAAAAACTGATACATTCAATACACACTATAGAGCGGAATATTAGTACTAGGGAATCCTACAATTTTCTAGGGAATGAATCAGGTTCTTAACAAGGTAACCCATGCCATTCCCTCAAGTAACCCATGCCATTCCCTCGAGTCGAGATGGTGGGTAAAAATAATTATTCAACTCATTTCATACACAGAAGCTGAACTGACTTATGCAATCATCTTAATTTAACACCTTAGACAACACAAAATCCTGGAAAAAGCAAACTCTCTTATAGTGTACAATGCAGGCAATGTGACACACATGGTTCTGTCCATCAGGCCCCAATCTAATGGCAGTCAAACCAAAATATTCAATATTAATTAGATGCTTTAACCAATGTTGCTCCTGACATGATAAATAAAATAAATACCAATGTGGTATAGTGGGCTGCGTGTTGGACCACAATTCAGAGTTCAAATCCCCACTAAGTCATAAAAATCCACTGTGTGACTTTGGGCAAGCTACAAATTCTCAGCCTAAGAAGGAGGCAAGGGTAAACCCACACTGAATAAATCTGCCCAAAAAAATTTGAGACAGGGTCACTTAGCATCCTTGCACATTGGAAAATACTTGAAGGCAAACAACAACAAAACTGCATATAACTAATACACATGCAAATGTATCTGCTGATTACAACTTGAAGAAGAATTAAAATATTAAATTCCAGGCACATTCAGTTTGTGTGTGGAAGAAACGTATTTTAGGACAGAGAAGCCAAACATCTTTAAATGCCACCTTCTTAATATTTTGCATGTTGTCTTTGCTTATAGGTCACAGAATAAAAGTTGGAAGAGACCACAAGGACCATCCAATCCAAACCCATTGAGACATGCAGGGACGCACAATCAAAGCAGTCTCAACAGATGGCCTTCCGGCCTCTACAAAGACCTCTAGAAAAGGAGACTCCACCACATTCTTGGGAAGCATTTTTGATCGTTGAACATCTCATACCACCAGGACATCTCCCCCCCCCCCCAATGTTTAGATGGAATCACTTTTCTTCTCCAAGCAAAACATTACCCAGTTATGCTTGACTTCTCCCTTCCCCTGTATAACAAACTCTAGAAGAACACGGTCACTCCCACCTAAGAAACCTGCCACTTCCACCCCATTTACCAGGTTGTTACTATTGGTTAGGATCAGATCTAAAATAGCTGATCCCCTTTTGAACAATGAAATTGTCTGCAAGACAAGCGATGAATTTATTAGTCCCGATATTCTTGCCAGAATTCACTCAAACCTCAACAAAATCTTTTACCATATATGGAGCAACAAATACCAGATATCCAAGCTATGTTTAGGAAAGGAAGAGGGACTAGCAACAATATTGCGAATATACGTTGGATAATAAAGAATACCAAAGAATTTCAGAAGAAAATCACCCTTTGTTGAAGACTAGAGCAAAGCCTTCGATTGTGACAGATCATAAAAACTTGGGATAGCTCTTAAGAAATGGATGCATCAAAACATTTGATTGTACTGATGTATAACCTGCACTCAGGTCAAGAGATTGCAGTCAGGATAATATACAGAGAAACTGAATGGTTTCCAGCTGGCAAAGCGATCAGGCAAAGTTGCATTTTATGATGCTGTTTAACTTTTACGCTGAACAGGTAATGTGCAAAGCAGGATTAGACTCAAGAGGAAAAGGTTGGAATACTGAAGGAAGAAACATTGATGGTTTAAGACATGCAGAGGACACTATGCTACTAGTAGAAAATATCAAGGACTTGTAATAATTACTGAAAAACATGAAGGAAAAGAGGGCAGAGGCAAGTTTATAGTTGATCATGAGTTGAAGAAAACAAAAATGACTACAGATTTATATTATTTATATAACTTTAGATGAAGAAATATTGTAATATTTTTTCTACATCATGGCTTAGCCATTAAGCAGAATGCAGACTACTGTCAACTACTCAGAAAACTCAGAATAGCAACTATAAAGAACTAGATATACTCAAGTGTAAAGATATACAATGCTAAATTTAGGATTGTCAAAGCTATCATATTTACAATTTCTATGTATCGTTGTGAAAGCTGGATAGTGAAGTAAGGTGATAGCAAGAAAATAAACTCATTTGGAATGTGGTACTGGAAAAGACTTGTAAAGATATTATTTGTAAAGACAAATTGTTCTTAGAACAAATGAAGGTGAAATTACTAAAATGAGACTGTCATACTTTGGACATATCATGACTCACCAGAAGAGATAATAATGTTTGGAAGTAAAAGAAGATGAAGACCACATTCCAGACACATAGACTTAAACAAGGAATCCACAATCCTGAGACTGAAAGACCTGCCTGAGCAGGGCTGATGATGATGGAGTGATTTGGAATCCTCTCCTTCATTGGATCACCATAAGTCAAAATTTACTTGATGACAGTTAACAACAAAAATAATAACAAAACCATCTCTTATAAGCCACATTTGGTTCTGGTTAGGTGAAAAGCTGGGTATAAAAATATGCTGTATTTTTAATTTCAATATTTTGTTACTGTTTGAATCTAGTCTGCTGCAGCATCCCTGGGTCCTGCAGAAACAGTGGCATGGAATATATTCTACAGTAGTAATATAGTAAACAACCAAGGTCAAAATGCTCTTGGTTGTTTACTCTCATTGTAGCCTTGTATTATGGCAAAACAATTCTACTGTAAATTTGCTCTATTTGAAGTGATGTTAATTGCTTGCCTTCTTTAGATTATCTTTCTAAATTTGCTGATTTTTTAAAATGTATCTGTGTATGTATTCCAATTTTGTCCAGTTCTGTTATGATTCTGTTCGTGCCTAATATTACTCTACAATATTCTTCCAAAAGAGTACATCTTCTCCTGATAAAGACCTGACCCCCCCCCCCCTTTTGGGGAAGAGGATATACTAAACTGCATCCTACAAACAATCCCAAACAATATATATATATTCTTAAATTTAGTTACACTGAAATGAAACACTTACCTTAGGGTACATTATTTTCAATAAGCATTCCTTCCATTAGGATATTACAAATTACACAGCCAACCCGTTTCTGGTTGTTGTGCATTTTAAAGAGGAAAGCTTCAATTTTCATTTTCTTTTAATCACAAAGCACTTCTAAAGTTCTTAGTGCTAAAAGCATTGCTTTTCATATGTACTATGTCATATATTTGAAAATAAACAGAGTATGCCTCTGCATATAAGCTTATAGAGGACTGGTTGTTGTGAGTTTTCCGGATGTATGGCCATGTTCTAGAAGCATTCTCTTCTGATGTTTCACCCACATCTATGCAGGCATCCTCAGAGGTTGTGAGCTATAGAGGATATAGAGTGTATCACACAAACAGCTATGCATGCACCTCCTTGCAAGTCTCTTTAGGATTTTAAAATTAGATTATTAAAGAATCATTGTTCATGGCCCAACTTTAACTCTATGCCTCTCAAATTGCTTAATAGAACAGCATTCAGATTCAAACCAGAACCGAAATCCATGGAAGCTGTTCTACACTCCCCCAAACCTGTCCCCCATCACTATTTACTAATATACATGTACAACAAAAGGCACCAAGAACAAGGAGTCCTGAAACAAGAATTACAACAGCAAGACCACTGTTTTCAAGATTAACACAAAAAGGAAGTG